TTTTCATCCTGTAACCACCATATTCATGCCCTTGTCCAGGCCTCCTCTTCAAGGGCTAGGTGGGGTCCCCGGTTGCATGGAGCCTCTAGGGGCCAAAGCTCGGGGCAAGGGGGGAAACCCCACAAGAGCCTCAGGGCATGGCATCACTGTCCACCTTAGATTAATGGGATATTTGGGGGGGTGACCCCCCATTTACGTCATCAGGTACACCCGGTGCAAAAGACCTCTTTTTAAAGTGTCAAAAAAACCAATGTGTCACTTCAAGGACCAGAACGCGCCTGACCGAAAAGGCCTGATCTTTTCAGTCACCTCATCAGCCCCTGAAAGCTGGACCGTGAATAAGATGGACTGAAGGGAAATCGATGCTTTTGAATTGCGGTGTTGGTGAAGAGTATTGATCGGATCACGGGCTGCCAGGAGAATGAACACGTCTGTCTGGGAAGAAGGGTGGCTGGAGCGCTCCCTAGAAGCCACTGTGGGATGGGGGAGACACCTCTGGGAATGTTCTCAGGAGGGACCAGTCCCCGAAGAAGCACCTGGTAAAGGGGAGGGTCATTGAGAAGGGGGACCACCCTCGGGGAGGTGGAGGGAGACTGGCCACAGCAAGGAGCTCACGCCCAGCAGCGTGTGTCAGGGATTGTGTTCTCTTGTATGTGAGGGTTGCTGTGATGGGCAATGGACTTGAACTTGTCGGCTCCTCTGAGATTTCATGGCATCAGTGGGCAGGAGACAGTGTAAAGTCAAGCAAACACCTGGTGGTCAGCTGCTCTTGAAGTTGGTGCTTTCAGATGACCTGATCTGGGCCCTCTTTCCCTGGCTGGCAGCCTTGTCATGGGTCATGACTTCTGGCTTGAGATCAGCATATGCCCGGGGTGGGGGTGGGGGTGCAGCTGAATGACAGCTCCATGACCCTGACCCTGGCCAGCACCCAGATCCCATCCACGAGTCCTGGACTCCTCCACTCGTGTCCACTGGTGGGTTTCTAAGGGAACACCTCCCCTTCTAGAGAACCCTTCCAGGCTGGGCCTATAGGGGGCAAGTAGGTGTGTCTGGGACGGTAGGGACAGGGGACTGGGCAGGTCCTGGGGAAGGGGGCTTACCTGACCTCTGGGTGTGGGCAGTGGTGGCTCAGCAGTAGAATTCTGACCTTCCTGTGGGAGGGCTGGGTTCCATTGCCTCAGGCCCCTGCTAGGGGATCTTATTCACACAGAAGGGTCCCAGGACACAGTGTTCCCTGGTCCTCTCAACATACCTGGACGACTGCTGTTTCCACATGAGGAGAGGACACACTGGCCTGCTGGACAGTATTTGAACTTTGAAGCAGCCCCTTCTGTACGGGGTCTGCTGCCCCGTCCTTCGCTGGCCACCTACTTCCTCTTCTCCCAACCCCCAGGGGCAGAGCTGCTTCTCACTTTCCCTAACGTGCCCTCCAGAGAGAACCCCAGGCGGGGGGCGCTTTATTCACCCTTCAGGGCTGCTATGTTAGAATCCTCTCAACACAGTGGGCCTCGGTCAGTGGTGCAGTGGTTAAGGGCTTGGCTGTTAACTGGAAGATCAGCAGTTTGAACCCATCAGTTGCCCCACGGGAGGAAGATGATGTAGTTTGTTCCTATAAAGACTACATCCTGAGAAACCTCCTGAGGGTCCCACAGGGTCACTGGGAGGGGGACTGGACAGCAGAAGTCAGCAGGTCAGAGCTGGGACTTCCGCTAAGTCTCGTTTGTAGCTCTCTCCTGCTCCTGAACACAGGTCTCGCGTCTCGCTTAGTGCTAGCCCGTTTACAAACCGCTCTCAGGGGCTGACCGGATGGCTCTCAGTAACCCTTCCAGGTCCTCGCAACCTCCAACAGAGTGGAGGGGTCTGCTTGGGGACCTGCTCTATGCCTCCCAGAGGGAGCACCTGCCCAGAGCCTGGTGTCCTAAGCCTGGTGACATCCTGACTTCTCATTGACAAGGCACCTTCGGACCTGAGAAACATGGGGAGCAGGGCAGCAAACATCTCATTGTAGGTGCCGTGTAGGAAGATTCTAACATCAAGGTGCATCAAATGTTTGACTTACAGACTGGCCTATACCATCATGTCCCCACAAGCATAAAGCACCAGAGTGGTTAAGTCAGGTCCCCACACACAACAAAAAAAAAAAAACGTCCAGTGTCTCCTACCCACTTTGGACAAACCAGCATCCAAGGACCTCTCTTCAAAGTGCTACTGAGCAAGGATGCCATTTTAAAGACTAAGGTGCACCTGGCCCAATCTGACTATTCTCTAACACTTTTACGCATGTCAGGCCTTTCTTCTGAGATACTTCAGGTAGGTTTGGAGTCCCACCTTGCGGTCAGTGGTAGAGCATCATATTCAGTGTCACCCCTGGACAAAGAGCCAGAACAGCTCAGGCAGAAATCAGGGCATCACTCAGGCACTGCAACGATGATGAGTGAAAGTGGAAATCCAGACTGTGTGCTGGACTCTTCTGGGAAGTGCTGGAAGAGTGTCAGCTGACTAATCTCGGGCACATCAGGCAGGAGCACCAAGCTCTCAGTGGAACTGATGATGGTCAAGGGTCAAGGGCCTCAAAGTAGAGGGAAGCTGGACAGAAATAAGGACTTGGGAAGGCTGATTGTTCACGTCTGCTCAGTGGTCTGTGGGAGAAAGGCCTGGTGGTCATTTCCATACAATCACAGAAAACCAGAAATGGCTCACGGCTAGTTATGGAAGAAGTTACCAGATAACATGATTTGCTTTCAGACAATTCAGATAGAAGAAAAAGGTTCCTCACCCTCTATGTAAACAAGTCCAGGTGACATCATGCCTTATTTGCTGTGCTGTTAGTGTAGAGGTGGGGGTTCTAATCCACCAGCCGCTCCTACGGAGCCAGATGAGGCTATCAGCTCCTGTGTGGACTTCCTGTTTCAGGAGCCCAGCCTCAGGCTGCCCTGAATCAGAATCTCTGAACCCATTCGACAGTGTTGGGGTCGGTAGTTTTTTGGTTCTCAATTTAAGGGCCCGTGGTGGGACCACGTGCTAAGTGTTGGGCGGCTTGGTGCCGGGTTGGCAGTCTGAACCCACCAGCTGCTCTGCAGATGAGGCGTCTAGTCCGCTGACTTACAGGCTAAGGGCTCCGCTTACAACACAAAGATTATTTGTAACTCTTAAGAATGTACCCGCATCTAGAGAGCAGTGCATGTGGCCAGTGTGTCTGTGGAGGGATTTGGGGCCTTGGCCTTGGCCTGGAGCCGTGGTCACTGTTCCTGTGTCCTTCACAAAGGCGGCAGACACTCATGTGTGCACAGTGACACTCAAGTCCAGAGCTACGGCTCTCACTGTGAGAAACGGTACAAAATCAATATGAAAGAGATTTGGTTTTAAGAGGACAATCATGGCGCTACCCTGTGTGGGGGCTGGGGGCCTTGGAGACCTGGAAGGTGATACCCATCTGTACCTGCCCCCCAATCCAGGGAGCGAGGGGGGGGGGGGGGGGGGAGGCAGGCAGGACAGAGCAGACCTCCACGCTGGCCATGGAAAGGACTGTGCCCTCCCACACACTTTGGCTCTAGGGACCAGATGGTGGACATATGGACGGAGGAGGTGACCTGGCTGGGCTGTCAGGGCTGAGCACAGGAGCATGCCAGTATCCGCCCAGCTGGCTGGCGGCCGTCCAGGGCTCTCGAGAAGAGCGAGTTCTGGACCGTCCCTGCACCTGGGCCTCAGGTGAATGTGCAGCGTGGTGACCCACGATCATAGGTAATTGTTCCCTCACTTAGCCCCTCGGGGACTCTGCACACCTCCTTAAACTCGCGGTGGGGGCTGAATTGCTGGGGTCCCCTTCCCACGTAGCCAAGTACTCCAACCTCACGGTGGACAAGTCACCCTCCATGTCCTCTCGCTTGTGCGCTGACCTTTCTCCACACTGCAGCTACCACTGCTCCTCCAGCCCCAGGTGTCCGAGCGTCCCGCTCTTTAACGTCCCACCTGTCTATTTCATTGAGCCATGAACTTCATCTTCTTGCCCTTGTGGTTGGCCCGGTGACCCTCCCTGCCTCCTGCACTGACCTTGGTCCCTAAAGCTGCCCGGCGTGTCGGTGGGGGTTTGTGAGGGTAAGCCCAGGGGTTCTCCACCCACGTGGTGACCCATGTGGAACACTTGCAGCTGGTTGTTACTGTGCTGATCGTGTGGCCAGTGATGGTCTGAGGCCTCGTAGTGTCAGGGACAGGCCCCACTGAAGGAAGAGTCGGCCAAAGGAACAGCTCCTCCCTTCTCTAGGCAGGAATCTTGGATTTAGTTTCAGCCTCAACTCTCCCACCTGTGAAAAGGGGCTAGAGACCCTGCAGGGTAGAGGACAGAGATGCTAATGAACACGGACTTTTCTGGAAGCCCTGAAGGACGTCTGCAGTCCCGTCTGCGGGCCCCCACAGAGCAGAGGGTTCAGCCCATAAAAAGCAGGCAGTCGTGTTTCTCAGGAACGCGTCACAAAGGAAGACGGCGTGGCCCAGCACGGGGCTCGTGGGTGCAGGAGGCTGCTCTGGGGTTTGGCAACAGCAGCCCCAGCGGGTGGGGATAGAAGCCCCCAATGTAGGCAGTGGAGGAGTTGGGGGGTGCTTGAGAAGGAGGTCACCTGCCCGGCTGCTCCTCAGGTGTGGTGTCTGTGGAAGGCCAGTGTGTGGCCTAGCTCGATGTCCCCAGCCCTGGACTTTGACCCAGGGCAGACAGCCTGTGCACATCTGTGGACGTCCACATAACGTGGTCACTACCCAGAGCTTGGCTCCCTCCCCCCACTCTCTACCCTCCACATCAGCACTGCTGGAGCCATGGTGCCCTCTGCTGGCCTCTTCCCAGACAGGCCGCCTGCAGTGGACGGATTCTGGCCAGTGGATGCCCACCCCATCTGTGAGGCTGGGCTTCCCCACTGCAGAGGGCTTCTGTTTCTGGCCTGGTGGGGTAGGGCCTGTCCTGGCCCTCTGTGTCTGAGCTGCCCTCTCCTCCTCCTTCAGCCGGGCAGCTGTCATAGAATGGCCACTGTCCATGGTAAGCTTGGCAACAGCAGCAGCATAGTGGCCACCAGGGTACCTGGGGGCCTGGGGAGCAGAGAGGCGATGGAGGTGCAGGAGCAGACCTCATACCCATCCTCAGAGCGGCTCTGGTCATGCTGGCCCGGCCGGGCATGGACCCCATCCTCACGGTCCGAGCCTGTGTCCTCGGGGCCACCAGCCTGCAGGTCCCCACACACCAGCCAGTCCCGGGCGGTGGATTGAGGGTAGCCAGGTGCTACCTCCAGCTCGCTGTCCAGCACCTTCCAGTATTCCTTGCCACGGAAAAAGTAGGAGGCACCTGGGGCAGGGAGAGGACAGAGTTGAGCCTGCAGCAGGAGGGATTCCAGCTAGACAACCGAGCAGGGCCCAATAGGCCTGGCAGGAAGGGGAGCTGCTTGTGTGGTCAGCACACGGGGCCTGAGGCCCTGACAGTGTGGTCAGCACCTCCAGGCCTGGGAAGCATGGGAACCACATGCCTACAGGCAGAGGACAGCTATGTTGACCACTGGGACATAAGGAGAGTGCAAAGTGTCCTCCGGTGAGGTTAGCATGCTTGGTTGCTAACCCAAAGGTTGAGTATTCAAGTGCCCCAAAGGCACTAGGAAGAAAGGGCTGGTGATCTGCTTTAAGAGCCTGTAGGCTTGCCTTCACCAAGATCCCAGTCCTGGAAGATGCGGAGCCCAGCTCCACTCCACACGGCCTGTCCCTCCACAGCCACAGTTCTGACCTGAGTGCTAAATTCAAACACACAGGGGATAAGCAAACTTCTGGTTTACCCGTTGGAGAGTCTGTGCATTGTTGTTTTTTTTTTTGGACTGAGCATGTGAAAAGGGGTACAGAAGGTGCCTCACTTTCAAGAAGGTTTCTGGGCAGGTAATGGTTTGGAGCAGGGGAGGGCAGGAAGGTCAGGGGTCTGGGCAGAAGGACAGGAGGCAGAAGCCCAGGAGAGCTGTCTGGTGGCCCACAGAGGCCCTGGGCTCACTGAGAGCCGTGGGGAACGGGCAGCACAGTAGTGGACACACCCACCCCATGGCACTAGCTCTGTGCCCAGTGAAGCTCGGTCAGTTCTCGGCTTGAGCCGGCACTCACCATCAGACCAGCGCATGGCGTCGTCCAGTGCACTGGGGACACCCCTCCACGGGGGGCTCTGGGCAGGGTAGCCAGGGTCCATGCGCCGCATGTGGTCATCGTAGCGCCAGTGCAGCTGGCCCTTAAAGAAATAAGTCTTGTCATTGTGGGCCCAGGAGAAGGCGGCGTCCACGCCGCCCGGCGGGAGGCTGAAGTCGGAGATGGGCCGCGGGTATCCTTCCTCTACGTTATTGTCCTTAAACACCCAGTATCTGTCTCCTGAGGGAGAAAGAAGGTTTAAGAAGAGGCTGGGGGTGCTGGACCCACCCAAAGGGCAGGAGACCAGCTTTCCCCACATCTATCCCAGTCAGGGCTCAGAGGACCTGCCCACCAACACCGGCCTCTGTGGATTAGCTGGCACTGAGTTTGTGCAAATGTCCTGCGGCCACCAACCACTATGGGGAGCTCACACAACAGATCTCTCAGCAGAGAGGACAGAAGTCAGAGACCAGGTGTCAGGGCCCTGCTCTACCCAGAGGTTATAGGGGATAGACCTTCCTTGCCTCTTCCACCTTCTGGGGGGCCCAGTGACCCTGGACTTGAGGCTGCCTCTGTCCCTCCATGGCCTCTGCCCTCACGTGACCATCTCCTGTGTCTCCTCTTGTTACAAGGGCGCACCTGTTCTGTGGGGTCAAGACCCACCTACTCCAGGATGAGCCTGAGTGGACGTGATATCGGTGAAGACTCCGTCTCAGTCTTCTAGTGTTGCTATGTTGTTGTTGTACATATTGTCAAGTTGGAAGAGACTCACAGCTGACCCTTCAGTGGGTTTTCAGAGGCTGTAAATTTCATGGGAGGAGAGCACACATCTTCCTTGATGGGAGCAACTGCTGGACTCACCTACCTGTGGGTTGGCAGCACAACTTACCACCAAGCCACCACAGCTGCCTGCCTATGCTGTTGTTGTGGTTTGGTGCCGTTGAGTCGTAGATGACTCATAGGGACCCTATGAACGAACGGCCTGAGCACTGTTCATACATAGAGTTTCCGGAGGCAAACCATTTCGGAAGTGGATGCCTCTCCTGTATTGTTTTAGTCGGGAAGCTCCAGCCAACACTGTCCCCCATGGGTACCCATTACCACGATTGGCACATCGCTGCCACAGTGTTCAGCATCACAGCAACACGAGTTACCTCTTCGGCTTGGTAGCATAACTTCTTTTCCACTAGCCTCCACTGTTAGGTGCTACAAAAGGACTGAAGGGCAGTGAGTACACTGCATCTGATTCCTGCCTCATCCTGTGCCATCCTCATCATCTCGGATATGCTCGAACCCATTGCCAAAGTCACGCGTCAACCCATCCTGTCGACGGACTTCCAAGTGTGACGTCTCTTCCCAAGGAACCGCCCCTTCAAACAACATGCCCAAAGGATGTCAGATGAAGTTTCACCATCCTTGCTTCCAAGGACCTATCTGTTGCACTTTCTCCAAGATTTATCTGTTTGGGGTTTTTTGCAGTCCATGGGATATTCAGTACCCTTCTCCAACACCACAGCTCAAAGGCATCACTTCCCCTGTCCTTACTCATTCATATGCACAGGACACAATCGAGAAGACTGGCGTGGATCAGGTGCACCTTAGTCTTTGGGCTGTAGGGAAGGCCCGATCTGCTGGTGCTGGAGGAAAGTCCTGGTTTCTGTCAGCACGTGGAGGAGGTCTGCACGTCCTGGCCTTCCTGTGTGGAGGAGCTTCTCCTGCAGGTCCCGCGTCCAAAAAGGTGGGGTCACTCAGGGTGGAGCTGAGAGCGTTGCCTCTCGGCTTACTTGCCACCACTTTTGTTTTCAGTGGGAAAAGAGGTGTTCCAGGCCACAGCTCGGAGGTGCTCCCCTTACAGTTGGTCAGGGCTGATGGGATTAGAGGTGCTGCATTCCACATTCCATTTTCTACAGCTACTTAACAGATCAGGGGGATCAGTACAGAGCTGCCACATTACACACAGGGGTGTGTATTCACATCAGTCAGACCATGACACCCCCCCTCTGTAAACAAGGTCATGTTTAAGGTCCCTGACCTATGGGCAGTCTGTGCCAGGCCAGTACGCAAAGACGGGGTGTCTGAAGCTCCCACAGCACCGGGACGAAGCCGACCCTTCTCCACAGCCAATGGGTCTGTCCAAATGGACACCTGAATAAAATATGCACACTGGGTCACCCTCACGGGTATAGGGTCTGGGTCACCCTCCTGGGTATGGGGTCAGGGTCATCCACCCAGGTGAGGGGTCAGCGTCACCTTCCTGGGTGCGGAGTCACGGTCACCCTCCCAAGTTTGATCAGTGCACTCTCCTGGGTGGGAGGTCAGGGTCACCCTCCAGGGTGCAGATAAGAGTTGCTCTCAGGGATGGGGGGTCAGGGTCACCCTCCTGGGTGAGGGGTCAGGGTCACCCACCCGGGTATGGAGTCAGGGTCACCCTCCTGCGTGAAAGGTCAGGGTCACCCTCCTGCGTGAGGGGTCAGGGTTACCCTCCTGGGTGAGGGATCAGGGTCACCCTCCTGCGTGAAAGGTCAGGGTCACCCTCCTGCGTGAGGGGTCAGGGTTACCCTCCTGGGTGAGGGATCAGGGTCACCCTCCCGGGTGCGGATCAGTCAACCTCCTAGGTGAGGGGTCAGAGTCACCCTCCTGGGTGAGAGGTCAGGGTCACCCTCCAGGGTACATATAAGAGTTGCTCTCAGGGATGGGGGGTCAGGGTCACCCTCCTGGGTGCGGATCAGAGTCATCCTCAGGGATGGGGGGTCAGGGTCACCCTCCTGGGTGCGGATCAG